GATGCACTTTCAGAATCATGCATTTCAAACAGCTTACCCAGAAAATCTGGACCTACTGCTACAGATATTCTGTAAGGATATATATGGAAAGGGGGAGATAATTAGACAAAGAAAGAAGAACATTACAATCTTCTAGGTTAAACAGCTTGCCAACTTCAAAAGAGGAAGATAGTGTGGTAAGCACAGAAAATTATTAGAAATCATCTGTAACCCACTTTGACCCACCACCTTTTTATCAGTTCACCTGTATTTCCCCCTACCCGATCTCCCTCTCTTCTGTACAGGAGCTTGAAACCTTTCGAGAAGAATAACACCATTACTGAATTACCAAATGAGAAGCAAAAAGAACTTTCCAAAGAATAACACCATAATTATACTACCAAACGAGAAGCAAAGAGAACTTTCCTAAAGTTATGCCGCATTGGCCCATTCCATTTCCATCGATGTTATCTTTTCGCATGTCAATGCAACATAGAAACATTTCACTGGAAATTATCCTATACCAAGAGAGAACAACCCTATATAACTTTTTTGGACCGCTCTAGTTTTGAAAATGAAAAAAAGAAGATGCAACTGTTGGTTTTTCTGAGAAGAGATCAACTGTGCTTTTAACCTAATTTGGTCCAAGTTCTTCTAAGTTACCCCCGCGTTTGACATGTACAGCAGAGGAACTATATACAGAAGACATCCGACAAGCATTCAGCAAGCTCTTAAATGCACCAAAGAGAACCAGCTACAAATCCTCTATAGGGAGAACTCATGCGTGGTGCACCTTCTGCATCGCTTGGTAGAACATGTCAATGAATTGCTCATCCTACCACAAAACAGAAGCCCACAGTTAAAATTTTCATATTAAACCATTTTATTTGGAAGACCAAGGAGAAAGAGAGCATGCTGAAGAGAACAAGTGGCTACGTCCTGTGTACATAGATCAACAACAATCATGTGTTTCTTCAATTCAAACAAGGGAAAATGTGTAACTTACTAGTGGTGAGAGAGTTATAACTAATGGCTGTTTGCTCAGCATGCATCCAGATGCAGATATTTAAACTAACCTATAAACCATTTAAAACTAAGGATAATTAACCTAGATATCTACCGAAACCTCATAATAATAGGATGAGCGTGCATGAACCATTCACAGACCTTCAGAAATATTATTAGCCTGAAACACAAACAAGGGAAGTGCCCATGCATAGGTAGAATATGCGTTCATCCCTTTATTTGACAATGATTTTTACGTATTTTTAAGTATATATGCTGTTATCAACTTAGTGATTGAAACAAGTTAGAAAATGCAAAAAACGAGAGAAGAAAAAGTGTAAGTACCCGAGCAAGCATTAGAAGTGCATCACGAATTTTGTCTTTGTTAATAACAAATCCATCATTTGAAGTAGGAGTGGAAATAGGAGTAAGAGATGAAGGTGGATTGGGTGGCGGAAAGGGCTGAAGCAATGGAGTGCCACGTGGACGTTGGGCATTCAAGGGAGAACGGAGAGCAACAGCAGTTGGCGTTGGTGACAAAAGAGGCGGCATCACCAAAGAGGGTGAAGAAGAGGGTGGTGCAAAGAAGGATGGCTTCACAAGATTGGTGACATGACTGCTACTTTTAATAGGATCAAGAGTTTCATGGAGAATTGTTGGAGTAAAAGCAACAGAGAGAGGAGCAGATGACATTTGCGGAGATGCTGCAAGAACAGGATTAACTGGTACATGAGAAGATGATGGAATGGTAGCAGATGAATGATAGAGCTGTCTTGAATTTACTGCAGGCAGAGTATTACTTCCAACAGTTACAGCAGCCTGCAATAACAGGGTGGAAAAAATCTGAGTCAAGGATGCATTGCACATAAAGTTCAACCTTCATATACATAGCCTATATTAGATACATACTGCAAAGAAGTTTACAAAGGAAGAATCTTCAGGGGTACTGGTTGCAGCAGGTTTAGTTGAGGATGGCTCAAGAGGACCTTCCATTACGGACATACTTGGAATTGCTTCAAGTTCCTCAAATTCACTGCATTATTGAAAACAAACAGAAGGAACAAAAAAGGAAATGAAACATAAAACTTGCATGACACTGAACATAGAGGGACATAAACAATGAATTGAAAGTCATTACTGCTATTAAACATAAGAAGAGCTAATTAAAGGACCATGAATCTCCCAGATCTGAGTTGGAGAGACTGAACGAAATCCCAAGGAACTAATATTTTTTTTTTGAAATGAAAAAACAATATTATTATGCACAGAGGTACCAAGGGGATACCAACCTAAGGAACTAATATTTAGAACAAATATCTTCCAGCTAACCCTAATGAATATCTACCATGCACACTATTGTACATAAATATGCATCCCCGAAATATTATGCTGTAGGGTAACACTACAGTAATAAGCAATCTATGAATAATTGACATAGGGTTCACACAAAAAAAAAGATGGACTAAGGGCACAGAATGCAAACAGAAAGAAACATGACATACGAAAGACTTAATTGGATAAAACATATAGCTGTTTCAGTGTTTACACAAATCACTACCTTTTGCTCGAAGAAACCTTTGGCTTTGAAGGAACTTTTAAGTATGCATTAAGTATCCTGCCCAAATAATACGGAAAACAAACATAAAAAAGCAATCAACATGGAACTCTTGAAAAAATCAACATAAAGGTTTCTCTTTCCGAAACTCCAATACATAGGCACAAAACTGAGAGATAAAATGGTTCCTCAAGTTTGTATTGGGTGACCAGAGAGAACATACTGTTGAAATGAGAACAACCCCATTTACTCATGATATTTGTATTTGATTGTGTGGTTTTCTTTTTCTCAACTAGAATATCCTTAGAAGTGATTTTTAAGACAATGGCACTATATAGTTAACCCGCCATGATTCTCCGGCATATTTGCTTTTGTTGCTCATTCAGTCCCAAAAGCTCCCAACATAATACAAATAAGAAAAGAAGATCCCAGCATGTTAGCATGTTTACAACTTGATACTTGGTGCAATCATATCATATGTTTTGCCCCATATATGCTGTAGAATACTTTTAATCAATTCACTTCACATCTTTTAGGTTCTTGCTCGTCCATGAGAAACCCAATAACTTTGCTACAACTACAACAACAATAAAAGAAATAGAGAGTATTAGCTTTTTTAATTTTTTGAAGTATAGAAGCTTTCCATCTGCATAGACCTTCAACCTAAAAAAAATTTAAGCACTTACTTTCTGAAAATAAAATGATGAATGTGAATTCTAAACTTAATTGCACCATTCATAACTATTGCACGACATGATCTGTAACAGATTTCTTTCCGACATAAATATTTGATGTTAACAAAATTTCACAAAAATAGGGAAGTAATAAAAATATTTACCTACTAAAGAGATTTGCAACATCCTCACATTCATGTGCATGGTAAAACCAAATCCCATTTACTTCTTGAGCTGCGTTTCGGTATAACAAATATGGAACTTGAACTTCATACTCAAAGTCCCCTAGTAGATCCTCCACTAAATTATCTGTTTATACCAATATTGGAAGTAATTAAATGGAAAGACACGTTAAGACATCGATGGAAATTTAATTGGAGTACGAGAAACAACCAAACCTAGAGGTAGAATAAACATTTTCGGCATAAAGGAGCTAATTATTATCTACTTTGCTATTCAAATTTAGCATTTTCGAAGATTCGGCCACCCTATATTTGTCTCATCCTGAACTAGAAGAATTACAAGAATACAAAGTGCTAAGTGTCATAATTTAATTTGTTTATATGGATAATCAACTCTTACCATTTTGAGCAGATGTTTGTAATGGGAAATAAAAAATCATGTTCTTATCACTAAGAGAATTAATAAAAACAACAGAATCCAACCTGTGTTCCGTCGATTCATTACTATGAACTGGAATCTAGGTTGAGAATTCCTTGAAGACAAAAAGAAAACGAAACATTATCGTCAGATCAATAAATGTATAAGAAATAGTCCCCTAACTTAACAAAGCCAACTTTAGTGTTGTGTGTGTGAAGAGCGGAGGTCGAGAATAAATCAAACCTCTTAACAACAAACAGAGATCCTTCAACGTCCTTGCGACTCTGCAACCGCCAAACCAAAGGATAAACAAAATTAAAATAATACTGGATTACAAGAACTGAAGAAGAGCGATTACATTTTGCACGAAATTACTCTACAAACACTCTAATTCTCAGCTGAACTAGATCAAAGACAAGAGTAGTTTTCCAAATAATGAAAAACAAAAAGAATAATAAATTCAAAGATTTCGTGCTCTTAAATTGCATTTCACCCTTTCACTAAATTTTCTGTCTCAACCAAACAAAGCAGCAAGGAATGAAAAAAAATGAAAAAAAAAAATAACAATAATCGAGGAAACCAACCCATTGATTACTCTCAATGTTGAACTCATAGAACGTCACATGTGCTGCCGTCATCAGAATCTCTTCTATGAAGGGATCGACTCTCTGTAGCACAGTGAGATTAAGCATTTTCGTGCTTTGCTTATCGAGATTCGGCGTCAATTTACCAGAACGAGACATTTTCGATTGAACAAAGAAAAGCCTAAACCCTAGCTCAGGTTTTCTATTTGATTTTGCCGGGAACTCTACACAGTTGTAATCTCGGAATCCATTAAATTCTCAAGAGAAAAAGAGAGTAAAGAGACCTCCTGGGTAACACTGTGGACTCGTTGAGCTCTGCAACTGTGTACAGAGAGATTTTTACTAACGCAGCCGTTAGTTATCCAGATTGACTAAAATGTCCTCGATCTAACCCGAAATTTACTAACACAGCCATTAATTAAAAAATTATTTATATTTTCTTTATAAAACCATATAAGTTAGTCAGCAATAAAAAATAATAATTGAATTAAAAAATTTTGATTTTGTATTTTCAAAAAATACTTTTTATATTTTGATTATCTCATAACTATACAAATTTTACATACTTTTATGAACAAAAACATGTATAAATTTATATAAATTTAAAAAATAAAAATTTAAAAATATTTTCCTACATAAAACAGAATCTAATTTTTGAATTTCTTTTTTTTTTTTTAAAAAAATGGATATTATTTTATTTATGGTATTAGTGAATCATACTATATCTCTACTTATATAGCAGAATTTTTTCTTTTGCAGGTTTAAAGATCACAATTTCAAATCCCATCAAATCTATATGCATATGTATATACATATACATATATACATATATCACAATGTGCAAACAAGGTCAAAGAAACGTTGACTTTGACATAAAACACAACAATTTTCATTACAATTTTGACCAATACAACATTAAATATTACACCATCAACCTTAATCACAATGATTAATTAAAAAAAAAAAAAAAAAACCAGACACCCACAAAAAAATTAAAACTAAAAAAAAAAAAAAAGTACAGACAATTCCACAATTTAAAGTCCCATTAGTGATTTCTTTCTAGTGCCTCCTTAAAGCCACGGCAGAGAGGAAGATCAAGACCACGAAAACCACAACAGTGACAAAAGAAAACACCACAGCTCCGCTCACTTTCTGGCAAAAGTCACCAAACTGGTTGCAGATGGCGAGCCAGTTGGTGTTTGGATTGCCATTGTGAGCCAAGTAGACTATTGCTGCCGCCGCCGCTCCGGCCGCCGTAGACAGTGTCAGAGCCACCTGCGTTGCCATAATTTCTTGTTAGAGTTCAATTGAAAGTTATGTAGAGTATATGATAAGCTGGAATAGAAGTGGTTAAGGCTTAGAAAATTAAAAGGGTAAGGAGGAATTTACAGTGTCCAAGATCAAGAGGAGGAGTCTTGGAGCTAGTGCCAGTGGGCGAACAATGGTGACTATAGAGAATGGAAAGAGAAGAACAAGGTAACCAGCAACTAAACCCATGGCAATCACAAAGAACCTGCACACACAAATAGTATACATCTCAGTTTTTGTGCATAATGTGTACATATGGAGCTTGATTAAGAAGATACTTGACATACTGGAATGTGGGTAGATCGTCGTAGCTAGCTTGGAACTGGAAAAACTGAGTGAAGAAAGGAAGGGTTTCATCACTGGTTCCCATGGTGGCAGCAGCTGCGAGAGCAGCAATAATTGCGCCTATACGAAGAAGGAAGTCGAAAATGGCGATACCCTTTTTTATTCCTGCTGGTTTTTGCTCTCTGGGAGCTGCCATGAGAGGAGCTTTTCCTTTGGCCTCGGCGCTTGATTCTGGAACATCAATGGTGGCTGAGTCGCTCTTCATTTTCTTTAATGGTACTGAACAAAAAACTGAAGCAGAAAGGTGGTGAAGAAGGAAAGAGAGTTGCTTTTTAAAATAAGCTGAATGGGTTTGAAGAAGTGATGAGAAATGGTTGAAGTGGTGAAGTTTATATAGGTAAAGTTTATGGGTTATTTCTGTGTTTAAAAATTTGAGAGACTGGAACCACCATTGTTGCAGAGGAGGATTAGCTTACTTTCTCCACTTTGAATGGAATTTGCTTTTCTGAGTAGAAGTTTACAAGGCGGAGTCAGCTGGTAGGTTGGGAGATTATCATATTGATTAATTAAACACTGATTAATTAGTCAAACGCTTAATTTGGATTAGTAGTACTTGATCATTTTCCCTTCTGAAAAATATGCCAGCCTGCCCACCATTTTCTTTTCTTTCAATATGAAAGTTCAACAAAATTTTTACTGATATTAAATTCTATAATGTATGTCAAACAAATATTTATGAGAATCAAATCTGAGTAATTCAGTGGAACTATACGTTTTTTTTTTGTGAATTGAACTAAGTGTCAAACAAATAATGACAATTTATTTGATTTAATATGAAAGGGGAGTAGAATTTTTTATCAACCCTACAAAATTCAGACAAAAGACCAACCCATGAAGTGTTTATTCTCTTTAACTTTCAGTCAACTAAACCACCTGGCCACCCTAATCCAACTATCCAAAAGTACCCATCTCTTGTCAACTCATTTCGTAATCATGTTATCATGTCATATATATATATATATATATATAATTAACATGTTCAGCGAAAAAAATTATAAAAAAATCAGAGATGGGTAAATTGTTGTATTAGGTTTCGTGTTTGTTGGGTTAGATTCTTTAGGCAACATTCCATTTCAAGAGATGTGCTCTTAACTTTAAGCTGAGATTGACCAAGATTTTTGTTGACTTTAACATGAAAATTTTCCCCAAGTCGGGAGCTTGGAGTCAAATCTGGCACATTTTTCTCTGTGAATTTGAAGGGTTTAATACAAATCTAAACCAATACTAATGTTTAAAATCACTTGCAGTTTCTACATTTTTGTATACTTTTTAAAATTAGGGCTTTGTTAAAATTGTATTAAAAGATCTCTCTTTAAAAAAAATAACTAATTTAAATTAAATCCGCTCGGATCAGATATGGACCGAACTATCTCATAATTAAAATTCAACTCACGTACTACTTTAATGGATGAACAGTATAATCATTAAAACATGCTATAGTTTCAGGTGACAAAGAACCGATATCAGATACCAAACCTTTTCGTCAATGTGAAGCGACGGTTTTTTCAATCGGCACCGTCAGATCACCTTCTTTTGCACCAGAAAGTGGTGGAGTTGACACTTAAAAAATCATTTGGCAGTTTAATCAAAGAAAATTCCCAGTTTCATTTTCATCCTATTTAGAAAAGAATTTACATTGTAGCCGGAGCAAAGATTACAGAACTTCATTAAGTTAGAACAATTCATGTCTGTTTTCATCTCACATATACAGATGACATAAAATTTCAAAACAATGTCAAGCTGATGAAAGGTGTGTAAAGAAT